TATTGGAATAAACCATGCATGTTCGAGTTTGATTAAACCTACCCGGTATTTCTTTTACTCTTAAAACACATTACAAACTAGAACAACAAATCAAACCTTGCTGCAAGCATATCGCTTTGTCAATAATTAAAATGTATTCAAGTTTTTTTTAAATTAATTCATGTAGTGCTTTGTATATTTCAGATACATATATGCAATGCATATCGGCAAAAACCATGTAAAAGGTAGTATATGCAAATATATAATTAAAAGAAATGTACCATGATATACCTTTATTATTTTACTTACATGCAAGAAGATTCAAGCTTAACTGTGGTATTGTCTATTCATTATTTTTTCAGTCTTGCATTCTTTACTGCATCTTCTTCTGAAATGTGGTGACGTGGAGGAAAATCCTGGCCCAAGAAATGTAAGTAACACAATTTTTTATGGTTTGCGTGTCTTAACATGAACAATACTTCTAATTGTCGTAATTCTAATTTTCTTTTTTTTATTATTATTTTTTTTTTTTGAAAAGATGCGATGGTCATTAAAACACGTAGAAAAAGTTGCTTATCATTATATATTTCTGACAAAAAAGACAATAATTTACAAAATAAATCGTCTTGTTAATGGAAATATATTTTTTTATTAAGTGGACCAATTTTACTTAACTTTAAAAATCAACTTAATTTGTCACTTAGGATTACGCTTACCGATGTAACGTCAAAAACAGAACGTCAGGACATCTCACAAACATATTACCTCTCTGTTCTTAATCTAAGAAGTTTCTATGTTTTTACACTTTAATTGTCATCAATTTTTCGGGTATCAGAATAATTTGTTAATGCCTTTATTCCTTTTTATAATGAAGCACAGTTTTCACATTTTTTTGCAAATTATTGTCTATGACGTTGTTTCGGTTTTGACCAGGTTTGCTAATTATTTATTTCCGTGTAAGCAGTTTATCATCTACGGAAGCCTGTTTAGAACCTATCAAAAGAATTATTTGAATTCGATATTACGAATTGTCGAAATTGTTAGAACTAATTTAAATCGTTATAACAATTTTTTGAATTCGTTATATCGAATTTAATTTTTTTTATAACAAATTTGTTGAATTCGTTAAAACGATTTTTAAAAATTGTTATAACGGATTAAATTTGTAAAAACGAATTCTTAAATTTGTAATAACAAATTAAACTCGTTTAAACAAATTCTAAAATTTGTTATCACGAATTAAAATCGTTTCATTATATTTGACTATTGGGCCTATAGAAAAGTATTTGTGAATTTGTTATAACCAATTCAACAAACTTGTTATAACTAATTCAATTTGTTATATCGAATTCAAAAATTGTAATTTAATTGATTATAACAAATTTTAGAAACTGTTTGAACGAATTTAATTCGTTAAGACGTTTTTTTTTTTTTTTGAATTCGTTATAACGAATTTAAGATATCTGTTATAACAGATTTAATTCGTTCTAACGAATTTTAGGAAATTGTTATAATCAAGAAAAAATTCGTTTTAACAAATTCGACAAATCGTTAAATCGAATTCAAAATTGTTTTTCGATAGGTCCTAAATGGTCTTCCGTAATAATCCGATAAAGAGTTTTTTATATAACGCAAGTCATTTCTATCACATTCTCACACATACACAGGCAATTTTTGATATATTGTTGATTCCTCCAAGTCTGTGAATAAAAAAAAATATTTTTCTACTAGCACTATTTGTCTTTAGCATTCTATTTCAATACAAGAGAAACAGTTTATGAAATCACAATTCGGCATATGAAACGATATAATCATACTAAAATATAATATTTAAATTTCATTTTGTTTTCAGGACATTTAAAGTTCTATATATGCATGAGAATTGATCTTTTAGTGCGATTACATTTCTACACCATGACTTGTTCTGTGACCCCTTTTTAAGTTTATACTTTCAATAATTTTGAAATATATGATACAGAATTTAAATTATTCGGATTAATTAAATCATTCTATCGTATGCGTATTGGGTCATGATATCGCGTCCATTAAAAAAAGACACTATCCTACATGTACGCAATTCAATCTACATTGTTATCTTTATTTGTTTGGCATAATATACTTTCGAAAATCAATGTACAGTTTTCTCAATTACATGGGTAGATTTTTAAAGATTATTTAGATTTTAAAATTATAAGCGCCTTGGTCAGTACCAATGCATTTGAAGGTCAGTTGAAGTAGAGTTTTATAATATACATTTACCAATAAATATGTCAGTGTCGGGTAATCAATATTATAATAAAATGAAAAAGGCAACGCTTGTTAAAACGTAAGCGCTTTCATTGTTTTGTTCAGATGTATTTTTAAAATTTATATATTTACATTTGCAAATGTTTCCCTGTACAAAACACTTCTGAAAGCAATGCCTATCTATAACTGTATAAAAACAGGTTCCTCAAGTTACGTTATAAGCGTTCGATATGGCAAGCCCTTTTACTATTTATTCGTAAAATAATTTTTTCTTTCAAAATGAGAGATATCTCTCTAGCATAGAGAGATATCTCTTTAGCTTATGGAGATATCTCTTTAGCTTATAGAGATATCTCTTTGACTAATAGAGATATCTTAATACTTTAGAGAGATATCTCTTTCAACAAAAGAGATATCTCTTTTTGAAAGAGAGATATCTCTTTTAGTAAGAGAGATATCTTTATAAGCTAGAGAGATATCTCTTTAAACGAGAGAGATATCTCTTAAAGTTAGAGAGATATCTCTTTAACAAGTTTAAAAGAGATATCTCTCTTAATTAGAGAGATATCTCTTTAGATTTTCAAAAAGAGATATCTTTCTAAGCTAAAGAAATATCTCTTTTAATGAGAGAGATATCTCTTTTCCAATCACCCTTAAAATAAAATAACTAATTCTCCCGTTAAAAACGAAAGCGAAACAGGAAGTAATGTCTGTTAAGTCGTTCGTTTTCTGGTTATTGAAAAGGAGAGGATAAAATGGACTGATTGATACAGGTAAACAACGTTTAATTGCTTTATTGTTTTAAGCGAAAGTAACAGGGTTTCAAACCAAAACGTCCCCCAAAGATTGGTTCCATATTTTATTTATTTCATTTATTTAGCTCACAGGACAGCTGAGCCGGGGATATAGAATGCGAAGTCAATAAAAACAAATTCGTAATAGGCCTACATGCACCCAATTCCACCGATCACGGGAATACAGGATTGATTACTACGTCGATTAAACATAATTCTGATAGAATTAATGTTCTTTTTAAATTAATTAATACTCCAAAAATAAAAACGTCCAACATTACTTCTTTCATGTAAACAGGGATGTATATATTCAACTTCAATATTAACTGTAGGACGTTAAACGACATACATGTACGATCAATATATTAACTGTAAAGCCTTATGACCCCAAAAAAAAGGGGGGGGGGGGGGTATTATCCGTACTTCAGGTGCCCGTGTTCCCAAATACTCTTACAATTATGAGAAAGACATTTTATTTTCTTAAAATAGGCATTAGAAATAGGAATTTTCTTATATGTCTTAGCTAGAACAATCCCCAATTTATCCAATGTTGTCACCAAACAGGTCTGCACTGGGTCCACAAGACATTCATCATTCAATGGTAGAACATTTTATCTACATTTGTCATATTTTACAGAGACCCAGGAGGTACTGAAAAAGGGACAATGCTTCGACTGAATGTGTCATCCATGTACCAGTATAGACCTGTTAATGAGGCATATCCAATAATTCTTATACTCATGAAGAGTGCGGCAACTCCCAAGTAGTTAAGGATGGCACTCATTTTAAATCAGGTACAGGATAATTTTTTGGGCTGCACTTTTCTTTACTTCAATATTTCAAACTTACTAGTTAAGTATCAAGTCCACAAAAGCTCAAACACCATGGTGAATCAATGGACCATAATGATAGTTAAATTTGTCATAATTATGCTTTCTTATTAAATTATCAATTTGAAATTTGATTGGTAAAAAACATTTATTAACTAGAACTGTCCAATCGGGACAAAATACCCCCCGCTGGGTTTTTCAGAAGTAAGTTTTTGCATAATAAAGATATGTATCAAACACAAATTATAAATTTTTTCTTCCAGTGACCTTGAACTTCCCCAAATGACCTTGGGTCAAGATCATGACACACCCTTGGGTCATAGGCAATCTTTGAGTGAAATAAGAACCTACCAAGTTTATCAATAAGAAAGATATGAACTGGACACAAATTATGAAATTTTTCTTCCAGTGACCTTGAACTTCCCCACATGACCTTGGGTCAAGGTCATGACACACCCTTAGGTCTAGGCAATCTTTGTGTGAAATGAAAACCTACCAAGTTTATCCTTAAGAAAGATATGGACCAGACACGAATTATTAAATTTTTCTACCAGTGACCTTGAACTTCTCCAAATGACCTTGGGTCAAGGTCAAGACACACCCTTGGGTCATGGGCAATCTTTTTGTGAAATGTGAACCTACCAAGTTTATCCATAAGAAAGATATGGACCGGACACGAATTATGAAATTTTTCTTCCAGTGACCTTGAACTTCCCCAAATGACCTTGGGTCAAGGTCATGACACACCCTTAGGTTATGAGAAATCTTAGTGTGGAGTAGTAGATTCTAATGTCCCTCTGTAAGAAATATATGGACCGGACACAATTGCACTGGACAGACAGACAGACGGACGAGGTGATTCCTATATACCCCCCCAAACTTCGTTTGCGGGGGGTATAACAAGTACAATTCTTCTACTGTGTGCCTGTCATCCCAACAATTGCAAATGCACATCGATAGGTTCTCCATGAAAATTGCTAACTGTGCAGAATGGTTGCACATTTTTTCAATGAACGACATTTTCTTAACGTTGAATCCTTCAGTATATCAAGACAAATATTGCACGCTTATTTTAATACAATATTAATAAATAAACTTAAGAACAAATTTAAGGATTGAAGTTTGATTTGTATATTTCGTAGTTACATGCGTAATTAGTTTTATATATAAAGGATGTACACAAGCATTTTATAACATTGAAAATATTCAAGAAAGAATTCTCTTAATTTCTTGTAGATCCTCACTTCTAGGATGTTTTCCATGTTCTTGTGAAAAGTGTTTTACATGGCACCATTCAGCTACAAATACTTTGCCGGTGGAACTGTGACATCAATCAACTGTTCATGCCACTGCTAATTTGCAGAATTTCCTTTGGGACAAGCAAACTGTTTCAAATATTTTACACCTGCAAGTTAGTACTTATGAAATTTTGTTTGCAGGAAGCTAAAAGCTAATGAGTACTGAAAATACAAGCCAGATGAAGTACAAAAGTGTTGATACAAGTCATTTAGAATTTTCAATTCTTTGCATATAGTGATGAGTGTACTGGAAGTTTTTTCGGGATCTTGTCCGACATCATAGGTACAACTGGTCACTGTGCTTTCTTGGTTATATAAGCAGGCATATTGTTAAAGCGGTGACACATGTAGCTTCAAATGATGCTTGACTGTTTAAGTGTTTTTCTTTGATTTATAAGTAAACCTGGATTGATCTCTGATGCAGTAATATAGAGCCATGTCCATTCTTTAATATTCCATCATCCCACTGTCACAAAGTACTGAAATAAAAATGATTTTGATTTTAAAAATTTTTGGTTTTTATATGTAACATAAAATTCTACAGAAATTCAAATATTAAAACTACTTCAAAACAAGATGTGTTTGTGAAACACTATGCACCAGGCGGCAACAAATTCAAACAAGTTTTTTTAAGCATATAGGTCATAGTCAAGGTCACAAGGTCATTGGCCTTGGTGTCATTTGAAAGAGCTTAATTAGTGGAGTATGCAAATCAAATATGAAGTCTCTATCTTTAACGGTACAAAAGGTATGGTGAAAGTTCAAAATGGTATTTATAGCATTAAAGTCACATTAAAGGTCAAAAGTTCACTGGCCTTGGTGTCATTTGAAAGAGCATAATTAATGAAGAAGGCATTCCAAATATGATTTCTCTATCTTTAATGTATCAAAAGTTAAGGCGAAAGTTGAAAAAAAACTATTTTTAGCATATAGGTCACCGTCAAGGTCACAAGGTCATTGACATTGGTGTCTTTTGAAAGAATTTAATTAGTGGAGTAGGCATATTAAATATGAAGTCTGTATCTCTCATGGTTCAAAAGTTATGGTGGAGGTTAAAGTTGTCAAAAGACAAACAGACATAGAAACAGGATATAAACAATAGACAATAATTCACTTATTTTATGATTGTGTATATTACTGTGACTGAATTTTGGAATCAATTTGTACAAAGGTTTAGTGTCATTGAAAAAAGATTACAAAATATCCAAAAGAACTGTTTTACTTGTTAATATAGAAGGAAGTTGTTTAGAAAATTTTCTTTTATTAGTTGCAAAAAATTTTATTTACTATTCAAGATCACAAGATAGTAAGCCATTATTTATTGATGCAGTAAAGTTATTCAAGTATTACAGAAACATAGAAAATTGTTGTGAAAAAGTTTTTCAATGTAAGGACAAAATACTCAGTAAATGGGTCCTGTATGATAATGTGTACAACAAGTGATGAAAAAATCAAAATTGTAATTTTTTGTTAATTTATATCTACACATTTGGGTACATCTGTTTTGTTTTTGGATAAATTGTATGTTTAACTGTCATATGTTTACATATATGTACATTTATTATGCCCCCCCCCCCTTTGAAGAAAGGGGGGCATATTGCTTTGCTGCTGTCTGTCATTCCATTTAGTTTCCATTCATTTTCTTCACAACCATTGCACTGAAATGAAATTTGGTATACAGCCTTACAGGTATATCAGATGGATATCTAGGTCAAGTTCTGTTTTGGGTATGATCATCGCGCCATTTTTGACAGAGTTATACCCCTTGGCTTTAGAAAAATTCCAATTACTTGCAGTTTCTGTTCATTTCCTTTGCAGAGGTTGCACATAGTGAAATGCAATTTAGTATACAGATTTATCAGATGATCATGAATATCTAGGTCAAGTTCTCTTTTGGGTATGCTTGCACCATTTTTGACAGAGTACTGCCTTTTTGGACTTAGATAAAAAATTCCAATGTGGGAGGAGGGGGGCATAAGTATTTTACAAATATCTCATCATTTTTAATTTTAGAAAGTGCACTGTGTGAGTGTGTGCAATTGTGGTGGTGAGTGGGTGAAAATTGTCTTGTGTTTGTACAGTGTATATATGGATATGGATAATGCTTCAAAATAAAGCATTTAAAAAAAAGTTTTGGAAAGTATGGCAATCATATACCATGCAGTACTCAGAAATGCTAAATAAAAGGCTGCGTAGAAGAAAAAAAAATAATTAAAACTACCAATCAAATAAGTATTAAATGTAAATCTTTTAAGATGAAGGTTTTGCTTTGTCAGATTCTTTGCTTATAGGGACACTTACCTTTAATAATGTCATGACAGGTGAGGCACATGGCTGGTCTTCATGCTGGAGTTAAAACCATCCAGTATTGCCCCAAGATTGCCAGATGTACAGACAAAACCTGTAATTTAGCAAGCTTCTGTAATATGCCAATTGAATTATTACATAGACCATAGTTGTATGTGCAACTGATAATGATGTAGGACTAAGGTGCCTGACAAATAATGAATTATAAATCTTACAAATATCCATTTATTTGATACAAATCTTAACTTTCTTCATTAAATTTTATCAATGATTTTACAAGAAAATCAGAATAAAAATTGTCCTTTTTATACATAAAAAATATTTTCATTTAAAATCTTTTTATTTAAAAATATTTGTTGCATTTTCATATTTAGGGTACCCTTCCTAGGCCAACAATAAAAAAAATGATTTGTTTGATGTACTCTGACCGACCTGTTAAAATAGCCCCTACCCATTTGCATTCATTTCTTGGGGGCACTTAAAATTTTTTAACGACCCCCTTAATTTCCATAGATGTTTTAAAGATAAGGTATCATATTTTTTTTTAGGATGCTATATATACAAAGTCTTTGTAACTAAATGAAAACATTAACAGATTTCTGAGTCTGTGGTTTTAAATATGACAGTTATCAATTTATTCAATGCTGTAAGACATAAGAAAAAAAACTAGAAATATGTCCACAGGACAGGAATGCCCGCCAAGGGTATATTAGTCATGCAAAATGAAAATTTGTATGAAATTTGATCAGAATATCTTGAAAAGTGTTACAGTTGAATTGCTTACATCAGTATGTATCAGCATATGAAGTTTGACACTAATTTCAGAGATGTGAAATTCAGAGATGTGAGGTCAAGGTCAAATAAAAGGTCAACATCATGTTGATGCAGTTGAATTGCTTACATCAGAATGCATCACCATATGAAGTTTGACACTAACTTAGGAAAATTGAGGTCAAAGTCAAAAGAAAGGCCAAGGACAAAAAATGTTTGTTTCAGTTGAAAAGCTCTCATCAGTATGGTAAGTTTGATACAGTAAATCTCGTTTCGTACGAACACGAATATTGCGAATTCATGGGTATAGCGAAGTCATCTTGGATTCCCAGCCATAAAATTTCAATGAATTTCTTATACGATTATAATGAATTATGGATATAGCGAAGTAATTTCATAGGTCCCAGCAACTTTGTTATAACCGAGCTTTGCTGTAACACCATCTTGAATGGTATGTTTAAAACTAAGTTAAACACTAATTTAAGAAAAGTGAGGTCAAGGTCAAAGGAAAGGTCAAGGACAGAAAATGTTGATGCAGTTGCATAGCTCTTATCAACATGATCAATATCTATCAGCAAAGTTTGATGAAATATCCTGTATAGTTTCTTTGAAACTGGGCTTTGAACTGAGCTAAACGCAAAGTGTGACGCATGGACAGAAAGACAGAAGACAGACATGACAAACACTATATGCCCAGGCCATAATCATGGTGGGGCATAAAAAAACTACCGGTACCAACCAACCTACCTGCCAACCTTGATAAAAGTGGGTAGGAGTACATCAAACAAATATATTTTTAAAGCTGGCCAGTTGTTGACTAGTATATTAGTCATTTTGATATGGTATGTCTTTTAAAAAATAAATTTTATATTTGTCTTAGAACTTATTTTGTTGCATCAATTTCATACCTGTATTTGATTTGCATTGTTTTGGATGCTGATAATTCAAAGTCATGATCAGTATAGTCTTAGGTGCTGCTGACTTTGGATCTCTTAGGAACTGCATCTTTTATCTGTGTTACTGGTTCTCTAGTACCTCTCCTATAAATAAGTTTAAGTGTATACAGTTGTGTAATATCAGTGAATAAATTGAACAGACAGATTGATTGTTTATCGTTCCTCGCAAGAATTTTTCACTCATATGGAAACGACAGTGGAGAGCTGCAAATTTTGTCCTAATGACCTATACTCAGCACTCAGGGCCATTGACTGATTGAGCAGGAAGGGATCTTTTTTGTGCCAACACCTGACCTACTGCAACAAGGGGCCACAGTTATACTGTATCATCCTAAGGACAGGTCTCCACATCCCACAGTGGGATTCAAACTCATGATGTAAGGATCAACACCTTATTTCGCGACTCTACTAGAGCAGACACTCTAATCACTGTGCCATGCAGGCGAATTTGAACAGACAGAAAAATTTACCAAAATCCATAAACCATGTTCTATAAACAGGAAACATACTCTCTAAAGTGAGAAATATGGTCATCAAAATTTTATTTTATGCAGAGAGATGGCAAAATACTGTAAACGTATTACATTTGGCTGTGTATTCCTTTTAGCGCTTTTGGCGGAAAGCAAGTTTCGCTAATTCAAGTACAACGCTAAATGCCTTGTACATATACAAATAAAGAAGAATTTTATGAGATACGCTAAATCATATTTCCGCTAACTAGTTCAAAATTCAATTTCCGCCAAATATCGTACACGCTAAATATAATACATTTACAGTATATGAACATCTTATCCTTGTGAAATAGATCTAAATTGCTACAAACATTTAATGCTCAAAAAAATAATCCACTAATACAAAGCAGGTTAAAATTTACTGAAAAACAAGATGTGTTTGTGAAACACTGATGCCCCCGCACGGCAATTTAGCGACAGTTAAGCTTTCTCAAATGCAAATCAAATATGTTAATTGGTACCAAAGTAAGGTCTTTTCACAAGAAATGAGAAATGTAAACACTAACTACACCTGCTCCAGGGTTATGACCAATGTTAACATCTTAAAAGATAGGACAAATTCCGGGTCAAGGTTGTTGTGTTCTAAAGAAAGGCCTTGTCTCAAAGATTACGCATGGGAAGTATGAAAGCACTGGCCCTTACCGTTCAAAAGTTATGGCCAAGGTTAAAGTTTGTAAAAAGTAGGTCAAACTTTAAGGTCAAGGTCAAAGGGTCAAGATTCTTGATATCCAATGAAAGGTATAGTCACAAGGATTACACATGTGAAATATGAAAGCTCTAGCCCCATCTATTCAGAAGTTATGGTCAAGGTTAAAGTTTGTAAAAAGTAGGTCAAACACCAAGGTCAAGGTTCTTGAAATCAAATGAAAGGTCTTGTCACAAGGATTAAATTTGTGAAGTATGAATGCCCTAGTCATAACCCTTCAAAAATTTCTGTCAATGTTGTATTTTTAAAGTGGGTCAAACTCCAAGGTCAAGGTCAAAAGGTCAAATTTGGTGATACCCAAAGAAAGGTCTTTACACAAGGAATATACATATGAAATATGAAAGTCATAGCTCCACTAAATCAAAAGTTATGGGCAAGGTGAAAGTTTTTGCGGACAAACAGAGAGACAGACAGACAGACACGACAAAAACTAATTACCCCCGAAACTTCGTTTACGGGGGCATAAAATGTATATTAAAAAATTACCCAAACAAAAGTAATGCAGCCACAATATCATAAATATGACGTTGGTTCCCATCAATGACAAAACTCCTCCTCTATAATCACTAATCAGCTGATGAATAACATCTCGGATTCAAGAGAAATCTGTTAACAAATTAAGGCAAAAGATAATTTTGAAACTATTTCATTCGGTTAAGAATAAAACACTTCATTTTCCCTCAAAATAAACAAGAAACGGATGACACTCTTTGATTTGTTTACCTGTATTTCGATCGAAATATTCCTGGTGGACGCTCGCACCCAATTTCTTATGATATGAAATTCATACATAGTAAGTCGGACAACCCTTCGGCTTTGTAAAACTATTTAATTTCCCCCTGAAAGCTGTGTGTAAACCAGAAACATGCTGAACTCAATGCACATTCACCATGACCATGTGCGAGGAAGTGAAAATTATCGTAAAATCTCGCGAGTCAAGTGACGAGACTTACAGACTATGGACCGAATTTTCTCAGCTTTTGAAATAATGAATAAAAAGTTCACTTCCGGTAAAGGGAGAAGTCATTTCAAATGGCATTTAAATAAACATAATGAAGAGAGATATCTCTTTGCAATAAAGAGATATCTCTTATTGCTTCAGAGATATCTCTTTTAGACCCTTTTGAAAGATATCTCTTTCACTTTGAGAGATATCTCTTAAGATAAACTTAGAGAGATATCTCTTTTACTTAAAGAGATATCTCTTTAACTTGGAAAGATATCTCTCTAAGTGAAAGAGATATCTCTCTAGGTGAAAGAGATATCTCTCTAGTTGAAAGAGATATCTCTCTAACGATCAGAGATATCTCTTTAACGTTCAGAGATATCTCTTATCACGAAAGAGATATCTCTCAAGGAGAAAGAGATATCTCTCAAAGAAAAAGAGATATCTCTCTAAGTATAAGAGATATCTCTCTAACTTTAAGAGATATCTCTTTCTTATAGAGATATCTCTTTAGAATAAGAGATATCTCTTTAAGTTGAGAGATATCTCTTATTTTTAAGAGATATCTCTCTAAAATGAGAGATATCTCTGTAATTTTCAGATGAAATTTATTTTCCGAATAAATAGTAAAAGGGCTTGCCATAGTTCGACGTAATTTTTCTGTGACTTCATAAAGGTTCGACGCGCAATCAATGGATTACATTGGGTTTGAAATACAAAAGAACCCATGCTTTAAATGTCATAATCAGGCAAATATGAAATATGAATAAATCACAAATGTAAATTTTATATAAATAATAAAGTTTCATTTTAAAACATCTATCGGGCTATAATTACGGGTTGGTACGATATTACATTCACCATTAAGCCATTCGGGCCTCATGGAATTTAATTTCGTGAGCAACCCGTATTTATATCCCAAAAGATTTTTTGCTCACCTGAGCCGTAGGTTCAAGTGAGCTTTCCTGATCAAAATTTGTCCGTTGTCTGTCGTCGTCGTTGGCGTCGTTGTAAACTTTTCACAAATTTTCATCTTCTTCTCAAGAAACACTGGACCAATTTCAACCAAACTTGCTAAAAATTATCCTTGGATAAAGGATTCAAATTTGTTCAAATGAAGGGCCACGCCCTCTTCAAAGGAGAATTTCAAATAATTGAAGAAAAATTAATGGCATTTAAAAAAAATTCTTCCTCTCATGATCCGCTGGTCCAGAAAAGATGAAACTCGTGGAATCATCCTCATTTAGTGTAGATTTAATTTTGTTCAAATAATGACCCCGGGGCAAGGGTGGGACCAAAATGGTCAATCAAAGTTTTACGTAAGTATATATAGGAACAATCTTTTAAAATCTTCTTCTCAAAAACCATTGGGAGTGAAAAGATGAAACTCGTGTTGAATAATCATCCCCAGATAGTGTTCATTTAAGAAATGAATTAAATTTTTGAAGATTCAAGAGGTTATGAACCACGACGCTTCACGCCGGCATATTTCATGAAGCGCGATATTTTGGAAAGTATTCATGATATTCCTTTGTATTTTTCAGGTCTGATATGAAATAAATAAAGCTTCCATCATGTGTAGTTGCGTTGCTTTACGTCGATTTATAGCAATTTTATCAAAGTTGTGACATTACTTTTCGTTCAACCTTCGTATTAATTATCAATGGCTTACAAAAAGAGTGTAGGGAGAACATATACACTAGCGTATACTTTAAAACTTACAAAACTGAGCTTTTTAAAACCACCGAGTCATTTAGATGACCTTTCGCAAACTGTTTTTGCCCGTTGCCTTGCATATTATGTGAACCCAGTTTGATCTAAGAATCTTGAGTTGCAATGACGATTTTGAATTTCTACTTGTTCTCATAAACTGCAAGATTTTTTATTTAAATCGTACAGAGAGGCTACAAAAGAGTGGCAAAATTAATTTTTTTTCTGATGAAATTTCCTCAAAAATACTTTGAAATACTTTTTACTTTGAAAAAAAAAGAAAATGAAGACACTAAATATATCTCTGTCTCATGCAGATCCTTTACAGGATCGTTAAGTGAATCCCGTCGAATCCGGATGTTTGTAATTCAAAATCTTGCCAAATACCATTTAAACTTGACATCTTTTTTCAGAAAACTCTTTAGATTAAGGTATTCAATGTATAACGACCACATTTTGCATAAAATAAATGAATGATCTTATAATTTTAATCATGGTAGAATTTTAAATCAAATCAAAATGCTCCACCAAAGGAATCCGCAAAATTTTGATTATTGTCAAATAAATTGCACCTCAAATTTTACATTGAAGTCTATAGACGGCACTTAGAAATAAAAATGTCTTCTTTTCATCAAGGGCAGATACAGCTCTTTAAAAAACTTAAAACGCGCAAAATGACTATCTCCTTTCATCTTATCTTGTGCGTTTGGTACATTTCACTTTAATTGTTATCTAGCAATGTATTTTTAACCAGTTTAGAATTATTTGAAATCGTTCAAAATCCATTCATTGTACATTGAATACCTTAATATCTTTTCTTATCTAGAGTACATATTGTTTAATCAGGCCAGTTTCTTTGGTATTCGGATAAGGCAAGATTTACTGTAATATACTCAAGTGATCGGTAATATCATCTGCAATGTTAAATATCATTCCCTTTGTATTTGAATGGTTAAACCCTTTTGGGGATTAGGAATCAAGAGAATAGATTCCCAGACCAATAGCAACTTGTCGCAAAAGTCAAAAGAAGGGTGTCGTTTCTTTGATTGATTAAAACCCTTTTTGGGATAAGGGGCCAAAAGAATAGATTTCCAGCCCAATAGCGACTTGTCACAAAAGTCAAAAGAAGGGTGTAGTTTAATGTTTAAATGTTTTCTAGAGAGAGATACCATACCATCGGATTTCCGTTGTAATGAAATATATTTTAAATCAGAAATTCTGCACTCCCTTGCACTGGAATTCATATTGGATGTCCTAATAGTAATTCAATCAAGGTTATTTAACATGGTGGACAATTCTATTTGTGAAGTTGACATGCATGGATCAATTTAGTATTGCATACATGTAGCTACATTTTAAGACCTGGTTCTAATGAAGGTCTTCCGTTGAAAAACAGAAGACCGTCTACTGATTCTGATGATTAAGATTATTCCTCTTATTCTTTTTTTCCCTTTTCCTAGATGCCAACTTTGAGGCCTTATATTTTACTCATTTCTCAATAGATTTTGCTGATATTTGCAGAGTTTATAGACGTTGCAAAACTCTATCAGAATTTTGTCTAGCATTCCATAAATTCACTTCAGCTTTTGAATTATTTCCTTTTAAACGAAAATTTATAGGCTTTCATTTCCAGATAAAGGCTAGGTGATGGCAAAAGCCGGAGCAGAAATTTTACTGATTTTAAATAATAGAAGGATTGAAGTTGTGCACATCGGTTTTTGTTTTTCGATTTCTCTATTCTAAATGGTGATATATAGGGGTAAAAAATTAGAACGCCTAAAAGAGCAAAAAGTGTCACATATTTTGCTTTTATCTTTTAAAATAAAAATATTTTGTTAAAACATATAGAATAAAATTTGTGCAGAAAAAGAAGATCTTTCAAATGATATCTCGGAAAAAGGGCCAAATCTTTTTCCAGATATCTCAAAAAGTATTGAGAGTTTGTTATATATCAAAAAAGCAAAGTTGTTCAAAATCTCTAGTAGCATCTATTAAGATCATCAAAATACGTCCTGTGACGTCACTTCCGGCAAAACCGGAAGTAGTCAGAAAATGCATAACATTGCCGTTCTTGACATGCTTTTGGGAAGTATTTGTTGATGAAAGCATAAAACTTATTTTCCGTCCGTCGATGTCACTTCCGGTCGAACAGGAAGTAGCAAAAATGGCTTACTTTTGTAATTAACAACACAGATTTGGAAGATTTAAATCATTAGAGACGTCATTTCTCTTATTTTTTTAAAATAAATTACTTTCGGTCAAACAGGACGGAAGACTTAATTGTTGCTTTGCAACCATGCTTTGCTCAAATGCTATTTCACTGTGAATCAAACCCCTACCTGCACAAGTATGGATATTCTATGTAGTTGCAGCCCCCCACCCACTTATTTCTAATAATTGCTTTCATTTCTTAATTTTTTTCTTGAAGTATTTGGCCAAAATCTATTAATTCACTTCAATTTCGTTTGTATCAAAAGAAAGTATAAGTTTGAGAGAGCATACAGTGTTTAAATCATTTTGTATTTTATTTCATGAGAGAAATACAAAAACAAAGCTTTACTTCGAGGAAATTTCTCAAAGTTTAATAAGCATAAGGTTTTGGAGGGATTTCGACAATGCTACACAGATGACGATAATATTACATCAGTAAGCAAAACAGGAATCTGGGGAAGACTATAGGTATATATTGGAAGATCATGTAACATATCTGCTAGATTAAGTTTGAAAAGATGGTGCATGAAAAATAATATATTAGAAGATTATTTCTTGAATATCAATAACAAAGAAGAGATAAACAAAGTTTCTGAGAACAAGTCAGAGTCCTTTCTGCAAGAAAAAAAATGTGGCTCTTCTGAGAGAAGTTCAGCACATCATAGCATTCCTGTTGCACCATCTGCTTGTAAGGAAAATCT